CCTGAAGCCAATCTTGTGGGGTGTTTTGTCTGTTTTCTTCTTTGTATTTCATGATTTGCTATCTTAACATCCATTTTGAGTGCATTTCTGTGTATGGTATATGTATACATGGTATGTGTATGTGTGTAATTTCTGTGTATGTTGTCTAGTTTCATTTTTCTGCATATGGCTGTTTGATTTTTCAGCACCGTTTATTGACGTGATTTTCTTTTCACCATTATATACTTTTGGTTCTTTGTCTTAGATGAACTGTCCATATAAATGTAGATTTATTTCTGGGCTCTATTCCATTCATCTGTGTCTAATTTTATTACGATTCCATATTGTTTTTGTTATTATAGTCTTACAGTTCAAAGTCTGAGGTATAATAGCTCCATTCCTCTTTATTTATTTATTTGTCAATATTGCTTTGGCCACTGAGGGTCTTTTGTGGCTCCATATAAAAATCAGTAACGTTTGCTCTATTTCTTAGAAATATTCCATTGCAACATTGATACAGATTGCTTTGAATCTGTACATTGCTTTGAGTAAGATGAACATCTAAACAATGTTAATTCTTCCAATACATGAGCTAGAAATAGCTTTCCACTTTCTTGTGTCTTCTTTTACTGATGTCTAATAGTTTCCATTAAATAGTCTTTTACCTCCTTTGTTAAATTTATTTCTTTTTTTAAAAAAAGATTGATTTATTTATGCATACAAGAACTGGAGCACAGGCCAGAGGTGTGCGGGGTGAGAGGATTCACCAGAGACAGAGTGGGGAACAGAACAGGCAGACTGACTGAAACACTGCTGAGGGGTGCTCCCTGGTCTGGAATCGAGCTCATGCTGCAATGGCTACAGATAACGACATAGGTTGTGTCTTAACTTCTTGCACCACCAGAGAGGCCCTAAATTTATTTTTTGTTATTTAATACCTTTGATGGTACTGAAAAATGGGATTATTTTCTTGATTTCTTTCTCTTCTAGCTCATTATTTGCATATAAGAGTGCAATAGGCTTCTGTATATTGGTTTTGTAGCATGTCATACTATACTAAATTATTGTTTCTAACAATTTTTAGTGTAGCCTTTAGGGTTTTCTATGTGTATTATTCTGTCATCTGCCAATAGTGAATATTTCCCATCTTCTTTTCCAATTTGAATTCATTTTACATCTTTCTCTTCCCTAATTGCTCTAGCTAGGGCTTCCAATACTATGTTGAAAGAGTAGGGGTGAGAGTGGACATCCTTGTCATGTACCTTAGAGGAAAAGTTTTCGGTTTCTTTTTTTTTTTAAAGATTTATTTATGCATACAAGAACTGGGGTAAAGGCCGGAGGTGTGGCATGTGAGAGGATTCACTAGAGACAGATTGGGGAACAGAATAGGAAGATTAACTGAAATACACTGCTGAGGGGAGCAGCGGGCGAGTCAGGTGAGGTCTGCTGTACCATGTGGGTACCTCCCTGGCTGGGGATCAAACTCGTGCTGCAGTGGCTTCAGATAGCTTCATAGGTTGAATCTTAACCCTGTGCACCAGCAAGGAGGTCCAGTTTTCAGTTTCTACCATTGAATGTGATGCTGGCTGTGGGTTTGGCATACATGGCCTTTATTACGACGAAGTACTGTTTTACCAAGATTTATTTTTTTTTACCATAAATGAATTCTGAACCTTGTCAAAGGACTTCTCCGCATTTCTGCATGGTTTTTGTCTTTTGTTGATATGATAAATTATATTCACTTGCATATATTCACTTGTAAATCAGGAGCAAATCGTACTTGGTTATAACTATGATTCTTTCAATGTATTGTTGAATTTGGTTTGCTAAGATTTTGTTGAGGATTTTTGCATCAGGGACAGTTGTCTATTATTTTCTGTTTTGGTCATGTCCTCATCTGCTTTTGGTATCAGAGTAATGTTGGTCTCATAAGATGTACTTGGGGTCATTCTGTCTTCCTTAATTTTTTGGAAGAGTTTGAGAAGGATAGTATTGGCTCCGTTAAAGTTTTGGTAGACCTCACTAGTAAAACCATCTAGTTCTGGGCCTTTTTTTGTGGGGTGGAGGGGGATACTTTCGATTAATGTTTCAATTTCCTTTCTTGTAATTAGCCTGTGCAGATTTTCTATTTCCTCCTGATTCAGTATTGAAGATTCATATGTTTATAAGAATTTTTCAGTTTCTTTCAGACTTTCCAGTTTGTTGGCATTCATAAGACATTCTCTTAATGAGCCTCTGCATTTCTGAGGTGTCTGTTGGGTAACTTCTCTCTTGTTTCTGGTTTTATTTGTTTATTACAGTTTTCTCCATGTTTTTCTTTAGAGAGTCTGGGTAGAGATTTGTCTATTTTGTTTATTTTTTCAAAGAACCAAATTTGTGTTTCATTGGTCTTTTGAATTGTCTTTTTGATTCCTATTTCATTTATTTGCATTCCATTTTTTTTTTATTTCCTTCCTTCTAATGGCTTTTTGTTTCATTGTTCTTCATAAGATGTTACGTTAGATTATTTATTTGGGCGCTTTCTTATTTCTTCATGTTGGTCTGTGTTACCACACACTTCACTCTCAATACTGCTTTCGCTGCTTCCCATTGCTTCTGATAGGTCATGTCTTCATTTTCATTTGTCTCCAGGTATTTTTTAATTTTTTCATTAATTCATATCACTCAGTAGTTTATTGATCAATCTCCAAGTATTGGAGGTTATGTTTTTTCCGGTTTCATTTTGTGATTAATTTGTTTAAATCATTGTAATGAGAAAGGATACCTGATATTTCAATCTTCGTGAATTTATTGATAAATCACTTTTTGATTCATTAAAAAAATCACTTTTTTTGATATTCTCCACTGTATTTTTCACCTCTGAAGATCTTTTAGTGTTAATTCTCAAATCTACCACTTGATAACCACCTCCCGATTTGAATCTTGAGTCTATCATCATGAAAATGTGCTCTTCCTGTTGCTCAATCAATGAAATGTTCTTTAGGAGGAGGATATGACATGGATCTGAGGGTCATCTTTTCTTTTTCTTTAAGAGATGGATCTGGTGAACCCAAGTGAGCTAACTCACTTTGGAAAATCTTTGGATTTGAACAAAGGTACACATATTGATTTTTGTAATTCTAGACAGTAAGGTAGATTTTCCTGTAGGACCCTTTCTCTGGTGATCTCAAGCAGTCCCTACCTGGAACCATTTCTATCGTTCCCCTCCCACCCCCTTCCCCAATTTGGCTTGGTGGAAATACGGGGTAAGAAGTACGGAGAATATAGGATAAGAAGTACGGAGATGTCCATAGATACAGGGTCTGTGTATAGACCAGCAGGTATCCAGAAATATTTGCAAATCAAATAGTGTTATATTTTCTAGTAGCCTCATTTTACAATGTAACAGGTACATCAATTTTAATAATATATTTTATTTAACCCGATATAGCCACAATACTGCATTTTAGCATGTAATTAAAATACAAACATTTTTTCACCCTAATTTCCATATTATCTTGGAATCCGATATATATTTCTCACTATTGCACACTTCATTAGGAACTAGCCACTCTTCAACTCTTAAGTAACCAATACCACATTGTAAAGCACACAAATCAGCTTTTGTTTTTGTTGCTTCACTGGACTTCTGAGACATTAACCCTTTCTCTTCTGGTTGCACAACTTACCATTGAGATCTTAACTCAAAACACTATTCAGGAGATGAACCTTCTCTAATATCACCGCTCCTCCCCTTCCATTCTCTATTTTGTTTTAGTGTCTACTTATCATTGATTTTTTTCTAAAATGACCTTATTTATTTGGTCATATATGCATTGTCTACCTTCTCTACCAGTATGCAGGTTTCACGGGGGCAGGGGCTTTTTAAAACGTGTGTTGGTCGCTGATCTCCCGGGGCCGAGCACGGAGCCGGGCACTCGCGGGCGGTCAGTACGCGTGTGCGGGGCAGAGCCGCGGTTCTCCGGAGTCCAGCCGACGGGCCCAGGAGCGGCGCCCACGAGGCAGGCGTGGCGGTCCCTCCCCTCCCCACGCGGCGTGGGGCGAGTGGGTGTGTGCGCGGGGGTGTGTGCGCGGGGGCGTGTGCGCGGGGGTGTGCGCGGTGGAGCGCGCCAGCGCGCCCGGAGCGCGGAGCTGGGAGGAGCAGCGAGCGCCGCGCACAACCCGCAGCGCGGGCGGAGCGCGGGCGGAGCGGTGCCTTCGGAGGTGGGTGGGCCGCGCCGCCAGCCCGCCCGCGGGGTCCCCATTGGCCGCCTGAGGGCCGCCCTCCGCTCGGCTGGCGGCGAAGAGCCGAGGGTCCGCTCTCGAGGCCGAGTAGCAGGGCCGGGCCGAGACGACGCCGGGGTGGGCGCGAGGGATCCGCGCCCCCACTCGCTCCGTCTCCGCCTCGCCGCCGCCCAGGTCGTCTCCCGCGGCGCCCGCGGTCGGCCTCCGACTGCGCCCCGAAGGCACCCGGGCAATTCCCCGGCCCGGGTGAGTGGCCGCGCGCGGCTCCCCTCCGGCTCCTCTCGGGCCGCGCGGCCGGCTTTGGCTTTGGCGGCTGCCGCGCGATGGGGCGGCCCGGGCTGCGCCCAGAAAGGCGGGGGCGGAGAAACTCGGCCGCCGGGAGAAGCCAGCCGGGGCCCCGAGCTCCGCCGGGCGCTTGGGAACAGGTGGCGCTGGCCGGGCCGGGCGCTTTGTGTCGGGGCGCGCAGACCTGGCGCCGGCGGCCGCGCCGGCCTCGGCCGCGCCCTCTCCTCCCCTGCCCCCCGGGCGGCCGCGCGCCGGGTCCACCGGGTAACGGCGCGGGAGTCGCCAGGAATGTGCCGCTGGGGACTGCCTGGCTCCGGGGAGCAGAGGTGGCGCGGGAGCCGAGAGGTGGCGCGGGGGCTGCGCCCGAGCCGCGCCGGAGAGGGATGCTTCCAGCAGGGCGCGTCCAGCCCGGCGAGGGTTTCCTTTCCCGCGGCGCCCCCGGAGGTGGGGAGAGGGTGGGCGTGTGTGCAGAGAAAGGGGAGGCGGGGTGGCCAGTCACTTCCGGAGTCGGTTCTGAGGCTTGAGCGCCCCGCTTTTTGGGACGTGGATATTGGGGCGTGGAGGTGTGCCCGGCCCACGCACGCGTGGGTGATGCGGGGCTGTTGAGGCGGGGGGGGGCGTCCCTTGACGGGGGTTTAACAAAGGGTGCTCGACGCGACGCGACGGGGAGGGGCAGCCCTGGAGACGTGGTCTCCAGCTGTCGGCTCTTCGCTCTGCGGAAGTCCTTTTTGGCTAGTCATATTATTGCCACTTTTGTTTTTTTGAAGGACCGGAGGCTGATGCATGAGGGGCCCACGGAGGCGCGGGAGCGGTGGTGATGGTTTGGGAAGCAGAGCTGAAGTGCGCTGGGCTTTGGTGAGACTTGACAGATTATCATGACCGTGTTCAGGCAGGAGAACTTGGATGATTACTACGACACCGGCGAGGAACTTGGCAGGTACTGAGGGTGCCTGAAGTGCGAGCTATGGAGTTGTGCGGTTGCATGTTATTGGGGCAGTGGGCGGTGAACGGAGCTTGAATCAGACATCTCCGTCTCCCTTCTAGGAGATCCGCAAATTACAGAGAAAAGAGTTACTAATCCAGAATGGGCTAGGGTTCAGAAATAAACCATGAAATCCAAGGGGTTGGGGGTGGCAGTAATTTCACTGTTAGATTCTGATGCCGTGTATTCATCAAGACTCCTGGACAAGAACAGTTTTAATTGTTTGCACAGCTATTGTTAGCTTTTGTCTTGAGACAATAACAATATATATATATGATAAAATTGCAACTGAAGTTAGCTCGTTTGTGATTTAACCACAGAGTACCACCTAATAAGCTTTTGAATCCTAATGCTTTTCCTTTTTCTGAATTTTCAGAGTAATATGAAAAAAGTATTGGTTGGTCATACATGGGGACTTGTCAAATGTTAATGTTGGGCTTGAAATTTGAAACTTCCTGAAACCAGGAATTAAATCACCAAGTTGGTGTTAGTGGTGGCTTTGGTTTTATTCACAATGTTAAATTTTAACAAATTAATGACAGTCTAATATGGCTATCTGGATGCAGGGGCATACTTCCATTGCTGTGGAAGTTGTGATTTGGAGTACAGTCTTTCATTTTCTAGGTGAACAAAGAATGATTTCTTTGGGGACATCCAAGGGTTGGGTGAGTTACCTTTGGGTATTTGACGGGCTTTGTTGCACTCTGATTTAAATTGGCAGGAAACCCATCTTCACACCTAAATTGAAATTCCACATATGAAATTTGAGTGAAGTGGGCAAAATGATATTTAAATAGATAAAAGGTGTGTTTTTACATGTATATGTATCAAAATACATATTTTTCCATGCACATGCTGTCCTGGTACAAAGCTTCCTTTTTCTTTATACAAAGGAAAATTGAAAACATAACTACTGTAGAGCACTTTGTGAGAATTGTAAAAGTTAAGTTTAACTGAAATTTTTAAAAAATTTTTTGGAAAGATTTATTTATTTATGCATACAAAAACTAGGGTACAGCCCAGAGATGTGGGTGGGTGGTGAGAGGATTCACCAGAGAGTGGGGAACAGAACAGGCAGACTGACTGAAATACACTGCTGAAGGGAGCAGTGGGTGAGACAGGAAAGGTCTGCTGCGCCATGTGGGTCACCTGCCTGGCCAAGGATTGAACTCGTACTGCAGTGGCTCAAATAGCTTCATAGGTTGCGTCTTAACCCCCTGTGCCACCAGGGAGGCCCCTAGCTGAAATTTTTAAAAAGTTCAAATAATAGTATTGAATGAAAGCAGTTTTTAAAAAGTTACTGTGTCAATGTATTTCTGTGTCTGTTAAGCATGGACTCAGACTCTCCCTGGGGGCCTCTGGTTTGAGGAAGCTTACTGTACACTGAAGATTTACTGAGTGAATAAGAAAGGAAAGGAAAACGCTCAAAAATTAAATTTCATGGATGTTTTTAAGATAAAGAGTACACGATTTAAGTACTTGGTGTAGCTAGGAATAAATCGCTTTATTCCTGTGGTTTTCAGCAGATGAGTGGAATATGGAATTTTGCTTTGGGAGTAGGGAAGAAGTGTGAAAAAATATTTTAATTTCATTAGGTAGTATGACCTGATTATGTATAAATTCTCTTATCAAGAGAGATAGTTAAAATTCGATAAGATGATTTTTTTTTTAAAGATTTATTTATACAAGAACTGGGGTACAGTCCAGATGTGCGGGAAGGTGAGAGGATTCACCAAAGACACAGTGGGGAACAGAACAGGCAGTCTGACTAAATACACTGCTGAGGGGAGTAGCAGGCGAAACAGGAGAGGTCTGCTGTGCCATGCGGGTTGCTCTGTGGCTGGCGGGGATCGAACTGGCACTGCAGAGGCTGCGGACAGCTTCATAGTGCTGCGCTCAACCGCCTGCACCACCAGGAAGGCCCCAAGATGATTGTTTTATGAATTAAATATATTGGCCATTATTTCCATTAAGATCTTTGACAGAGTTGTGTGTTCTGAGAAAGAAGCAATGAGGCCTCCCTGTGGCTAGTGAGAAGAGTGTGTGTGATCTTTACTTGGCATGCACCCTCTGCCCTGCACTGGGAGGTGTTTCATTCAGTTGTCATTAGCAGTTCACTTTGATATAGGTAATATTTCTGTGTATAATTTTCTCCCTGCTGTGCAACACTACTAGACAAATTTTTCATTGATGAATTTAATTTACATCACCTATGAACTTGAAAGAAATGCTCTGAAAAATTGGGAGTTAGAGATTTTTAAAAATAAAGTATATATGCCCATCTCTCTTGTATAACTGCTTCTGTTTTTTGCCTAAAAATGGGTTAAACAGCTGATTTTTTTTAAACTTTTTCAAGTACCATGGTTTTTATGTCTGCTCCTTTTTGTTAATAAGTCTGACCATAAGATAGACAAGTAGGCAAGATGCTGCTTGTGTGAGAGAGAGGACTGGGAGCAGAGCAGGAGTTTAATGGCAGAAAATGGAATTGGGTATGCTCAGTACCAATGCAAAGTGGATCTAAGCGGTGAGTAATTAAACAGGTAACATCTAGAATTGAAGACTTTATGTGAGTATCTTTAGCAGTCATCTGAATAGTAGCTACTCACTTTATAAAATACTGGAACAAATCCCGTAACTAGAGGAGGGAAGAGGTTTTTAAGCAAGAAGAATAAAATATTGTTATTGTGATTGTCATTATTTTACTTTTAGGATAAATGAGAGCTTATGTGTTTGTACCCAGGTCTGCTGTAAAGAGCCCTGTCATTTATAAAGACTTTATAAAAAAGTATATAAAGAACTTTATAAAGGATTATGATAATTACTTTAGCAGTGGAACACACAGACCACTGGCCAGCTCTGCAACTTGCCACCTTTATAACCTTGAGCAGGTTACTTAACCTTTTCACAACAGACATTAAATAGGCAACAGGTCTCTCATTTTATAAATGTTGCCTATTTAATGTCTGTTGTGAAAATTAAATAATTTGATGCCTGTAAAATATTTTATCAGTAGTGAAGAGTTAAATAAATATAGATATCATCTGCAGGATGGACTGAGGCATGTGGGTGTTCCCAGGCGGGCTGAGAATGTGGCCAGCAACTCATTGTTCTGTTTTTTTCTGTTTACCAGTTTTGGGAAGGGAGGCCCTTTGGGAAAAGGGTCACAGGGAGACTAGTGCTGACTCACCCTCCAAGTGGAAACTAGGCCCTTGGTGAATAGGATCTTCCTCTCCTGAAGACTGGTGACCTTCTGTGTAGCTTCCACCCTTTAAGCGATCAACTTGTCTCCCATGAGACTGAATGAAGAGCTGCTTCTGTCACTACTCGTGTGTGTGGGGTGGTGTGGGGAGTATGGGGGGTGGGGGAGTTAGGCTTGGTATAAATGCACATTTCTCCATCTGCTATTTTACTTGGGTCCTTTTAGTGCCCTCAAGGGACCTTAGCATCTTTATCAGTTGGCACTTGGGGCAGCTGCAGGCTGGCTTGTCCCACCACCCGGTTCTTGTTACAGCCTTGTCCGTGGCTCAGCCTAGCCTATGAGTGTTCTGGGTACTTCTCTGAACTTTCCTGAGGACTGGCCTTATTTCCTTTTTGCTGTCTGACCTTACATGACCTTAAGACCTGAGTCCCACCTCCTGAACAATTTCCTCCACATTGAGTTGCTCCCTTGGTGCGTGACCACAGTCTGCCCCATGCCATGCTCTGTTCTTGCTTTGTGTTATAATTTTTGTATTACTCCTTGTAGCCAGCCTGAAAGTTCCTTCAGGGTGTGCTCTGTGGGCCTTTCTCCCCAGAGTGCACAGTGTGCTAGATAATAACGCAGAAGTTTGACTCATGACTGAATAAACTAACACAGGTTGTCAGGCAGAATACTGAGACCAGAATGGAAGACTGATGCTGATGGGGGCGGGGGGGGGGGGATGCCCTGTGAACTAACACACACACATTTGGGATGTGGGGAGACACCTACCTTTGCAGAGTGTTGTGAGAATGAGGGACACTAAACCTCTGGCACATAGTCACTGCTTGGGATATGATTTTTAATAACGTGTTTTCCCCATCACAGTGTTTTTACAACATTGTGTAGCTGTTACTTGATTATCTGCTTTTCCTACAGATTGTCACAGGGTTGTGACCTTTGGCTCATTTTTTATCTCTATTGCCTATGGCTCAATAAATGCTTGCTGATTGAATGATTAATATATGTAAAGCCCCATGACACCACACACACACACACACACCCCCACCCACCCCATGCATATGTAGACACACATAAATGACAACTGAGAGAAATGAAACTGTGATTAAAGACTGCAGCTCATAAAAATGAAAACTGTTTTTGCTTTGCATTCTCTGTGGCTAAATAGCAACGTTAGCAACGTGCACACCAGCCAACGTTTCTAAGCACGAGATCACTTTTAAACAAAACAAAGTGGAGCATTAAGTATTTTGCATTGGTTTGGATGGTTGCTAAAAGCTAATAATTCAAATTTAAAACATTCTCATTTGGCATAAAACCCATAGGCATTTTAATTGAAATAAGGAATTGTAATAGGCTGCAACTGTCTAAGTTCATCTTTAGATTTACTGTGGATTACAAGTGTGAGTCCTAAGAGCTCTGCAGTTCTGTGTGGATGGAAGGAGGAGGGACTCCAGTGTGTTATCTTTTTGGCAGTGGGAATTACAGGCTCATAAGGTTGACTAGTGAGGTCATCACTAGTGATTTTTCTCTTTGTGTTTCTGCTTTATATGCCCTAATGTGTTTCCTCTGATAGGAAAGGCTGCAAGGTTTAATGAGAGAGTTCAAATTAATTTTCAATGATTTTAAAATTCCATGCATTTTAAGAATGTCTAATAATAGTTTTGAATGCTGTGAAGGGATGGTATGATGGTGGCAATTGAATGTCTGCTTGTCAGCAGTGGATATGGGTCTGTGCGCTATGTGGGCAGATATA